AAGAATCTCCAGGCCCTCAGGAGTGATTTCAGCAAGGATCCCCTCCAGCTGCTGCCACAGCTGGAAAACGAGCTCCCGTCCTTGCCCTTCATCCTCGATCTTCTTTGCCTGATAGGTGAAAATGAACTTGTGCAGAGCTGGGAAGTACGTGGGGAAGGGGACAATGGAGCTGAAGGGGCTGAGGAGCTGCGTGGGACAGGGTGGGGGGAGGCCCTGGGAGATGGGTTTGTACTCAAACAGCTGCACTGTGCCCTTGCCCAGCCTGCTCTTCAGCAGCTTCTCCACGGGCACGCTCAGCTGCAGCAGGACGTGCAGCACGTGCTGCAGTGGGGCTGGGATCTCCTTGGGATGGTAACGGCAGAGGTTCCTCACCATCAGGAACCGCTCCAACAGCGACGCGTCGGGCTTGGAAGGACGAAGCCTCGGTGCAAATATAATCTCAGCTACCAGGATGCCCAGAGCTTGCATGTCCCTCTGGAAGAGGTCTGAGAGACCCAAGGGTTGCTCTTCGCACTGCTGCTCCATCAGCTGCATCTCGCTGCTTAAGCCTTTAACCAAGAAATTGTCCAGTTTCTCCAGTTCCTCCAGGGCCTGGAGCGGGTTGAAGCCTTCAGGAAGAGTGATCTTCATGTCCAGCTGATCCCCAGCCCCTGCCTTGCTCCGACGGAGCGGTCGGACCCCTGAGGATTTGCCATCGGTGACATAAGCAGGGAGGGTGGAGGGCTGTGCTGGAGGCACAGTGGCACAGGGCTGGTCAGGGGCTCTCCCAGGAGCAGAAATGGAATCCAGGGCTTCCGTGCCTTGCTCCAAATCATCCTCACCAGCCATGGGTTTCTCCCCAGACCAGGTGGTTTCACTGGGAGTAGCCTCCAGGACCAGCCCGTTGACTGCATCTGTCACCTGGCCTTGGATGTCCTCCAAAACCACGGTCTCACGGATGTTCTGCAGCAGAGGCCTGGCAATGGCTGGAGCTTCAGCAGGAGTGTAGGCAAGTCCCACCATGCGCCTGGGATGGGGCTGGTCAAAGAGCTGCACCACCCCGTAGGTCGTCAGGTGCGTGTGGTTGTCGACCAAGTGGAGGCAGACGTTCTTCTCCTTGACCGCATCCTTCCCCAGCAGCTTGTAGCCAAAGGTGAGGTCAATCCAGTGGTGCAGGTCCTGGGAGACCTCCCGGCTCTCCAGCAGCATGCGGTGAACTTGGATGAACTCCTCGTAGGAGCTGCACCACGAGGGCACGTCCAGGTCGGGCATGTCGGGGTGGATGGAGCGGAAGATGGAGGGGTCTGTGTAGAACTCTGGGATGCACTCGTCAGGTGTCCAGCTCTGCATGCGCTCCATGCTGGCTGGGTACTCGTTGGGCTCCCACTGGGACCTGACGTGGCAGCACAGCACTGCCTTGGGTGTCCTGCGGGCCGTGTACACGTAGTAGGTGATGTCTGAGAGGACGTCTGAGATGTGGTGGGGGACGTGGAGCTGCTCCCCACTCGAGCCCCCCGCGACAAACGCCTGCTTGGTCATCTCGTAGGTGAAGTCCAGCTGCTTGTCCCCCTTGTTGAGGCGGAACTTGGATTTCCTTAGGTCCCTGAACTTGCCGTTTTTGGTAGTGAAGTCCACCACCCACGGGAGAACAGGGTGGTAATTGGGGTCTCCCATTCTCCTCCCAGCCAGGCTGTTCAGACGCATTAGGTAGTCAAAGTTGCTGACCTGCCCGTGCACCCACTGCAACACCAGGTCTCGGAGGTCCTTCTGGCAGGCACTGCATGTCACCTCCTGCCTTTGCACGCAGCTTTGCTTGCTCTGTTGTTCCAGACCACCCTCCAGATTCTCCTCCTCCCCTGGTCCCTCGTACCCTCTGAAGTTCACACGCAGCCGGCTGCACAGCTTCTCATCCACAGCAACATCCCGAAGGGAGAAATCTCCACAAGCCAGCCCCGCCTGGTGACAAGCCCTCATGGCCTGCAGCACGTGGAAGAGGAGGAAGAGGATCTTGGCGTGGCTGTTGGTGAGCTTGGCCGGGCTGAAGGTGACGATGTCGTGCAGGCAGTACTGCACATAGGGGTAGATGACATACAACATGTCAGCCGACTCCAGCAGCGCCTCAGCCTGCAGCACGTTGGGACACGAGGACGCCCCTTTGGCCACGCTCTCCTTGGCAGGGGACGTGCCAGGCACGTTCCTGCCCAGCTGGAGGACGGGGCAGCCGTAGGCTCTGTGCAGGGCAGCCCTGAGCGCGTCCAGCGCCGGCACCGTGGGCGGCGCATCGGGGCGCCGGTAGGGCCGGGCGTACAGCCCGTGAGCCCGGCCCCACAGGTTGTGGTAATTCTGGGTGGCCACGCTCTGCATGAAGCCGTGCAGGGTGTCCACGTTGCCGCCACGCTGCTCAGGGGGCTGTGCCACCCGCAGCGGGTACCCCAGGCGGGCCTTGCGCAGCCCGTGGATCTCCACCCGTGTCCAGCCCGCCGGGAGTTTCTGCACCGAGGGCTGCAGGAACGTCCTGAGCTCCACCTCGCTCAGCCCCTCGGGCCGTGGGCAGGCCGGGGGCAGCACCCGGCGCTCCTTGAGGCTCTGCAGCCATTTGGCCGGCACCAAGGCGGTGACGTGCGTCCTCTCGGGGGCCAGCTGCCGGCGGTCGATGTTCAGGTCCTTCTCCACGCTCTGCAGGAAGCTTTCCATGCTGGATTCTGCTGGGAGAAAGGTGGCCCAGGCAGGCTGTGAGAGAGCAGAGCACAGAACCGCCCTGCCCGCCCCAGCAAGCAGCAAGTATCACTTCCCCATCGGCACTCGGGTTAAAAAAAAAAGGGGTTGAGGAGCTCGGTGGCTGTGCCTGTGTGCGGGGGTGGAGATGGGCTCAGCTCTAGATGTGAGGGACAAGGTGGGACCTCAGCAGGGTGACATGGTGGGGCTCCCACAGCCCCTGGCAGGGGACATGATGGGGACACGATGGAGACTGGCACATCCAGGCGCTGGGGGAAGGGACATTACAGGACCTCTCCAAGCTGGGGGGACATACAATGGAACATCCACAGCCAGGGAGTGGGACGGGATGGCACCTGTTCAGCTTGAGGGACACAACGGGACATTCACAGCCCCAGGGACTGAAAAGGACCATGATGGGACATGGAGAGGGACATCTGCAGCCCCAGAGCTGGCAGTGGGGACACAACGGCACCTCCGTAGCTGGAGGGGGACACGAGGGCATCTCCAGCATAACCTCTGTACTGGGGACACAACGGGCCCGGAGAGAGCCACGGGAGGCACCCAGACGATGCTCCCAGCACCGAGCACGGACCCAGCACCGAGCACGGCCACGGCCGGTCCGGCGGCCCCGGCCCCTCGGGGCCCTCGCTACCGGCGGGGGAACCGCAGAGCCGGGCTGAGCCCCGCGGGCCGCTCCGGGGAGCCCTCATCCCCCGCGCCGTGGGGTCCCTCACCGCCCCGGCGGCCCCGCGTTACCTGGCGGCGGCGGCTCAGCCGCGGCGGGCGGCGGCGGCGGGGGCGGCCCCGGCCATGTTGGTCAGGTGACGGCAGTCACATGCGGCTGCCGCGCCGCCATGTGCGCGGGGGGGGCCGGGCCGCGCTGTCCCCGCGGGGCCGGGCCCGGGCTCCCTCACGCGGCCGCGGGCCGGGGGGGCCGGGGCGGGCGCGCGCGGCCGGGGCGCGGGGCCGGGCATGGGCGGCAGCGGCGGGGGCGTGACGTCACAGCGACGTCAGAGGCGCCCCGGGCTGTCAGCTGGAGCCGGGCGAGCCGCGCTGACGAGGCAGCCGGTCTTAAAGGGGTCCTCACCCGCCGCGGGCGGACCCCACCGGCGGCAGGTGAGTGCCCGGGGCAGCCGGTGTAGGGCAGCGGGGCCGGTCCAGCCCCGCCGCCGCCCCGGGACCTTGCCGCTCTCTGCCCCGTGAGGCACCGCACGCTGCGGGAGCTGCCCAGCCCCGGTGCCCGTGAGCCAAGCCGGGCTCTCCCACCGCTGCCAGGGCGCTGCCGGGTCTCCGGTACCGCCGGATGCGGCGATACCCACGGGGCACACGGTCACGACAGTCACGGGCCGGCGCGGCCCCTTTAAGGGCGCCGGGGGCTCCCGCCGGGCAGCGCCGCATGGCGCGGCGGCGCGTGGGAGTCACGTGGGTGGGACGTAGCGACCGCTGATTGGCCGCCCGGCCCTGGCCCGCTGCAATCAGCTGTTACTGGGACGAAGGGCAGGAAACGGCCTTAAAGGGGCACCGCAGCTCCGAGCCTCGCCCCGTGGGGCGGCAGCGGCAGCGCCGGGAGTGCCGGGGGGGCAGCGGGTGAGCGCTTCTGGTCGGGCCGGGCCGGGCCGCCGCTGCGCTGTCCCCCGCCGGCACCCGCGGCGGGCGCGGCCCCTTTAAAGAAGTTGTCCAGTCATCGCGCGGTGCTGCCAAGTCATCGGGGTCAGCCGAGTTCTCGCGGCCACGCCCCCCGCGCCCTCCCATTGGTGCTCGTGGAGAGCGCTCACTTCTGATTGGTCGAGGACTTAGAGCAACTTCTCGGAATCGGGGCTGTGTCACCAGCCCCGGCACAGGGAGGCACCGCCCGAGGGCGGGCGGGGGTGGCCGGGCCGTGCCCGCGGCAGCGCCACGCCCCGCCCGAGGCCCGCGGAAGGGTCGAGCCCCTTCGGAGCCGCCCTGCCCCCGCCGCCCCTTCACCCGCTTGAAAATGCCAACTCACAGCACGCGGGGCACGCCGGGAGCGCCGCTCCGCACTACAACTCCCGGCGTGCCCCGCAGCAGGGTGGCCCCATCCGTTCCCAAGGCAACCGCCGCCCGGCCGGGAGGGAGCCGAGCTCTCCCCCGGGGGGTGGGCGGGGCAGAGAGCTGGCTTCACCTTTCTATTGGCTGAGCGGCGGGTCGCGCCGGGCCGCTATTGGCGGGAGCAGGTGGCAATCGCGGCGCGGGGGCGGGCGCGACGCGCGGCGGCGGTACCGGCCGGCGATTGGCCCGGGGGCGTGGCCAGGGGGCGTGGCCGGGGGCGGCTGCGTCATGACTCCGCCAGCTGATCCGGGACGGAGCCGGCGCGCGGCGGGGGGAGGCGGCGGTACCGGCACCGGGCACGGCCCGGGCGGCACCGGCGGGGCGGCGGCGCTGGTGGCGCTGGGCCAAGTCGGCCCCGGCCGAGCCGCGCAGGTGGGTCCGCCGGTACCGCGCTGGGTCGGGCGGTTCGGGTGGCGGCGCCCTCGGTGCTCCGGGGTTTGAGGGGGCCCCGCCGTGCCCCGTTAGGGAAGGTCACCTTTCCCCGGGGCTCCGCGGACGGGGGGGGTGCGGCGCGGGGCGTCCTTCGCCGGGCCCCGCGGCGCCGCCTGGGCCGGGCGGCCTCGCCCCCGGTGTCGGTGGGGCGGGCAGGGGGGGCTGGGGCCGGGCCCGTGCGCGGCTCCCGCGCCGGAGGGTCCCGGTGGGGCGGGCGGGGCTGCGGCCGGGGCCTCCCCGCGACGGGCGGTGGCCGCCCCGGGGGTGACCTTCACTCCGGGACCGGACTGGGCAGACTTTGACCTGCGGCCGCTCCCCGCCGTGGGCACGGAGCGGAGCATCCCGGGCGGCGGAGGGCCGGGAGGGCGGCGGGGTGTCCCGGAGGGAGCGGCTTTGCCGTGGAGCGCCGTGGGGGGAGCTGCCTCCGTTAGGGGGGAGGGGGGAGTTGGTTTTACCGAGAGGAGAGGCACTGGGGGAGGGGGGGTGACCCGGTTATACCGGGAGAGGGGCACCGGCTGGGGGCACAGCGTTCTTTACTACCGGGGGGAGCTCCCACCGGGGCCCTTCCCGGAGCCGCTGGGGTCCGTCGGTGCTGAGAAGGGCTGGGTGGGAGCCCCGTTACCGACAGGGCCCCCCCCCGTTGCCGGCGGGGCCCCCGGTGCCGGCGGGGCCGGTGGCTTCAGCGGCGGGTGCTGATTCACGGGCCGGCGGGGGTGGAGCAGGGCCGGGACCAGCTCGCTGGAATCCGGACCAGATGTACCCGGCACGCCAGGAATGCTCGGCATCCCCGCCGGGCCCCGCCGCCGCCGCCGCTGCGCCCCGGCCACCGGCCCCGCACCGAACGCCCCGCGGCACCCACCGGGCTCCGGCCGCCCCCGCCGCCCGCCCCGGCCCGCGGCCAGCCGGGCTCCGCAGTGCCCTCGGGGTGACGCCGGCGGGAGGATGCTGCGGGGGCCCCCCGGGGGTTTCCCGTTGCCATCTGTCCCCCACCGTGCCCGGTTTCCCGGGAGGTTCCCAAAACTCCATCCCTGGCAGCCAAAGCTCTGGGCCCTGCAGAAAAGGGATTTTTCCGGGGTCACGGGGGAAGCAGTGAGGTCCAACACCAGCCCTGGGGTTGGCGTCCTTGCCTTCCAACAAAACGGCTCAGAAAGGGGCTGAGCTGCCCGAAATTGCCCTGTTCCCGTGCCGTAGCTCGGCAGCAGCTGCCTTACCGAGTGTCTGCCCCGTCAGGAAGCAGCTGGCTCCCGTCCAGGTGGGACCCTGCCAGCAGTGATGGATGCCCGAGGTGAGCCCTGGGAACACCGTCACCCCCACCTGCAGTGGCCTCCCTGCCCGAGGAGCTGCCCTTATCTCTCTTATTTTCCAGCAGAAATGGCCTTGGCTTTCCCTGCCTGTTCCTCGTGGTTTAGGGCTGGCTGCAGGTGCTGGAGCTCAGGCTTTGGGAGAGGGGAGGGATGGGGAGAGCTGAGCTCGGAGCTGCCTCTGGGTTTCCTTGGATGGGGGGAGGACAGAGGAGTAGATCAACGTTGTGGGGAGGGAGGGGAGCTGCTGTGGGTGACAGCTCAGCTGGGCACAGTTCAACCCTGGCTCTGAAATGGTGTGTTCCCTTCCCAGGTGCTGCCGTGCCACCCTGCTCCTGGCTAACCAGCACCAGTTCTTCAGTGGCAAGCTTTATGTCCTTCTCCAGTAGCTAAAGCTGCCAGTTGAAGAACTGTTGAATGTAGCCACTCTCTTCTCGTCACTGGGACCTTGGATGCCAGCCAGAGCCGTGCCCTGAGCCACCAGGATGAGCCACTCTGCAGAGCCCTGTGCCTTGGAGGGCTTGAGGATGAGTGTGACCAGGATGATGAAGAAAGTCTCCTCGGAGCCTCCAGCCAGAGCCTTGGCTGGAGGATTCTGTGCCAGCAGGGTTGCCAAAATGTGTCCCCCCACCCCTCAGTGGGGTGGCACTGAGCTGGGAGGAGACTGAGAGAAGCATTAAACATTATTTTGCTCAACTGTTCAATTTTAGGAAATTTGTTGCCTGTGGGTTGCCTGGACCAGGTGGGGGCACGGCACCAGAGCTGTGTCCCCAGTGATGCCACCCTGGGGTCTGCAGAGGAGGGGTCAATCCTTTGGGCTTGTCCTGAGCCAGAGGCTGAGCCCAGGAGAGGGCTGAGCCCTGCAGCATGGCAGGCAGGGGGATGGAGCCCAGGAGGGGGCTGGCTGCACACCCACGCTGCCCTGAGCGGGTGGGACCGGGCCAGGGTGACTCAGGGCGAGTCACACACGGCTCTGGATGCTGCTCCCAGAGCCTCTGGCCTGGGGGGACATGCAGCAGTGCCAGGGCTCTGGGTATTCTGGAGCTAGCAGCACTCAGAGGGGCTGTGGTGAACTTTGTTGGGTTCTTCCGTGGTCCAGGCTCTGGTTTGTTGGTGAACAGAAGCTCCAGCCTGGCCTGGAGGGAATTTGGAAGCTGCTCTCCAGGGCTGGAGGAGCCCCTGCCTTGCACTGAGTGAGAGGGGAGCTCCATGAGGGCTCCAGGGTTTCCCAGAGGACTGCCAGGACCAGCAGCTCCCTTGGTGACTGGGACCAGGGGAGTGTCCAGGCCCTGCTGCTCAGAGCCTGCCAGCAGGAGCACAGCTCATCCCAGCTCCGAGGGCGGGCAGGGAGGAACAGCCCTGTGCTGAAATGTCTGCACAATCTCAACTTAATCTGCCTGCCCAAGGCAGGGCTGCTCCCAAACTTTGGCACCCAGCAAAGCACGGAAAGTGGCCTGGCGTCCATTAAGTGGTAGAAGTAGAATAAATCTGTTGTCCTGGGCTCTTTCCTTCTTACATAAAGCTGCTGTGCTCGGTGTGCTCCTGCTGCTGGTTACAAGGAGCTGAGTTTCTTTGGGGTGGTTGTCACCCAGAGGGGGTGGGACTGCTGAACACCCCTGGATCAGCTCCTCCAGCTCGGGGCAGAGCCCGTCTCTTCCACCACAGCTGCCCTGCTGCAAGCCCATGCAGAACAGCTGGCACCTGCTCAGTGCCCAACACATCCTGGACTGCATGGAGGGGCAGAAAGTGATGGTGGGGGGTGCCTGAGGGCAGGGAGGAGCAGCTCCTGGGCCGTGCTCCCCCTCCTCTGCTGTGTATGAGCCGTGTGCTCCATGTGCCTCACAAATCCACACCTTCCCTGGCATGAAGGAACAACCTGTGCTGCTGAAACCCAGCTCTTTCCTGGGTAAATTGTGGCTCTTTCCTGGGTAAAATGTGGCTCTTTCAGAGCAGAGAGTTGCCCTAAGCAGAAGCACCAAACCTGCGAGGTCAGGAAATGTAAAACATTGTATTTAAGTGCCAGAGGACAGGTTTGGGTGTCCAACACAAAACCAGCAGGGCAGGATCTCACCTGCTGAGCAGAGGGCTCAGGCTCTGCCTGTCCTGCACTCAGACCAGAGGGGGTTTGGGCTGTCAGTGAGTGTCCTGTGGGAACTTGTCCAGCTCCTGGGTCTTACTCACCAGTCACATGGGGCTGTGCAGGAGGAAGGGTAAGTGCAAGGCTTCCTGTAGAAAGCACAGCCTCGCTGTGCAAAACCCCAGTAACTCTTTCCTCTAGCGTCTGGCCACCTCCTCCAGGCATCCAGCATGCAGGGACACAGCAGGAAGGGCAGGCTCTGGGATTTCTCTGCCAGAATGCCACCCGTGTGCCATTCCAGCCAGCAGTGACCCTGCCAGCAGGTGCTGCTGGCTCTGAGGTTGGGTGGCATCCCTGCGTCCTTAGGGGCAGGGCATTCTGTGCAAGTTCCTGCTCAGAGCCCACCTCGTTCCCTGCTGGGAGAGGAGCAGCTTGTCTCGCTCACAGCTCCCCTCGCTGGGAAAATGTGTTTTTGCAGAGGAGAAGGTCAGCGTGACCGGTGTGCTAAATGAGAGCTCCCTGCCGGCAGGGAAGGAGCAGGAGGAGCTGCTGTGTCTCTGGCTGGTGCATCTGTGCTTGTGGGGTGGCTGCTGGCAGCTCAGAGCCTCAGCTGAGCCCCAAGGCCACGGGCACCCTCCTCTTACCCAGCACAGAGCATCAGCTCTGCTGAGCTTTGCCCAGCACAAGTGGACAGCCAAGGGCTGTCTGCAAACACGGAATGCAGGTGCTGGGTTCAGCTTTGCTGATGGTTTTATTGCTCCAGGGTGGGAGGGTGTGGAGCTGTTGGCACTGGGTTGTGAGTGCCACGCACCAAACTTAGCTTTGTGCCAGCGAGGGGACGCTGCCAATGTCACAGGCCCTGAAAACAAGAGGTGGGATGGGGATTTGCAGTGCCTCCTTTTGGTTTTGTGTCTCTCAGTGGGCTCTGCTGACGTGGGGGACGGCACAGAGCCACGCACCAGCTGGCTCAGGGTGCCACTTACTCTGCTTCTTCTTTGGAGATTTGTTTCCCCAAGTACAGCACTTCTGCAATCAGGGACACCATGGGGTCGCAGTTCAGGCTGGCAGCTGCAGTCACATGGCCATCCCTGGCATGGAAAGAGGAAGAGCGTGGATCTCCTCAGTGCACACAGCCCAGCACAGCAGCAGCACCCCCGTGGCACAGTGGCCAGGCAGCAGCTGTGTCCCAGAGGGCTCGGGGCAGGGTGGCTGCTGCTGCTGCTGCAGGATGCACAGGCACCCGTGGCACATTGCCTGGCACTGCTGGGCACCGAGCCTGGCAGCAGTGGGGCACAGGCAGAGAGGTGTCCCAGGCTCTCTGCCCAGCTGGTGCCATCGTTTGAGTTCATTCTCTTCTCCTTCCCTCTGCCTTGCTTTGGTTTTTCTCTGGTTCAGCATCCAGCAGCTGCCTTTAGTGCCCAGGGGGGATGTGGGGCCCCTGTGGGATCCCTGCAGCTGTAAGAGAGAGTGCTGTGCCTGTTTCCAGGGCATGGGCTGGCCATGGATTCACTCACCTGATGTAAAAGATGAGGAATTTCTGCTGCTCCAGGCTGCCCTTCACCACAGTGTCCGTGTATCCCTTCCCACAGCCTGGGGGAGAGAGCCTGCTCAGGAGCCCTGGCACAGCAGATTGCACCCAAACCACCTCAGAAACAGCGTGGTGGGGACAGAGGGGACAGTGGCCGGGGCTGGGACAGGGCTGGGGAGCAGAGATGAGGGCCCTGGACAAGCAGAACTGACTTTGATCCTCTCCTTGGTCTGGAGAGAGAAGTTCTTCCTCTGTGACCTCTAACCCGCTGTAGATCAGCAAGGAACAAGAGCTCTGGGTGAACTCCAGGCCCAGGGCTCAAACTCACCACGGCAGCCACTCCAGAGCTTGAACTGCTCCAGGTGACCTCTGCACCCAGCCCCAGACCCAGCTGGGGGAAGGAATTCCTCTGTGCCCCTCTGTGCCCCTCCCTACCTGCATAGCGGATGCTTTTCCCAAGCAAGGTGCTCCAGAAGTAAGGAACAGTGTGCAGCTCCTCCCCTCTGCCCAGCATGTTCAGGGCAGCACAGCGACCTGGGAGGAACCAACACGCTCAATATTTCTCTTAAAAAACTGCTCCCCGTGTCCCCTGCTGTCCCTTCTCTGTGCCATTCCCATCCCTGAGGGAGCTGGAAGGTGATGAGTCCTGTGGGGGGACAGAATGTAAGAGAATAGTGCAGGGGGATAGAGTGTAAGAGAATAGCCTCACCCTGAGGAATTGCAGCTGTACCAATCACCAAAGATTAGGAACAGGCCTGCCCTTAACAGGCCACAGCTGTGTCCCATGAGGATGAGTGCTATAAAAGAGAGGGTGAGCTGGCTGAGGAGAGAGATGGAGTTTGTTGGCTGTGCTGTGAAGAAGAAGGAGTTAGTGCTACAAGGAGCTGCCTGTGAGAAGTCACCAAGAAAGTATGGAGGTTTTGCAATAAGATGACAACAACGTCCCTCACCATGGGCCTCAGCCACTTGCTGGTGGTGGATGCTGGCCCTGTCCCCACCCAGCAGTGCCACTGGGAAGGTCACCACGTCCCCCGCAGCGAAGACCTTGGGGATGTTGGTTTGCATGTGCTAATTGGGCAAAAGGCAATTAGTGCAGTGATGGGAGGGGAGGGATGGGGTGCGAGCTGGGGTGCTCAGCTGGCACTCACCAGATTCACCAGGATGGCACCTTTGGCATCTCTGGCAATGGAGGTGCCCTTCAGGAAGGCTGAGCTGGGGGTTGAGCCTGTGGGGAGAGGAGCAGGGATGAGATTCAGAGAAGTTCTGCAGGGAAAAGGAGGAAATTTGGCCTCCCAGTTCCTGTTCCTGCTTGGAGCAGTGAGCTGTGCTTGGGCTGGTGCTGAGCCAGTGCAGGGGCAGCAAAGCCAGGCCCAGGACACAGCAGGGACCTGTGGGGCTCAGCAGGAGTGTGGCAGCTCCTCTCCTGCTGCCAAGCGTGTGCTCAGGGGCTGCTGACCCCTCCAGGTGCTTGGGGCCAAGAGGAAGGGCAGGGTGACAGCAGAGTGGGAAAGAGAACAGCAGGGAATGGTGTCCTGGCAATGAGCTGTGATGCCCTGGGCTTGCTGGGTGTTCTCCCCATTCCCAAATCTGCCTCCCTGACCCAGCTGGGGTCTCCTACCTATTCCCACCACTACCACATCTGCAGGGAGCTTCTCTCCGTTGGCAAGGACAGCCTCTGTGACCTGGGGAAGAAGGAAAGGTCATTAATAAAGAGTTAAAACCTCTGTCCTAATTCCCACAGCCTCCCTGCTGCTTTGCTCTTTGCTGTCTTCTTTTCTTCCCCAGGTTTGGATCACCTTGTCCAGCTAATGTGTGTTGCTGGGAATGTAAAAGAAAATCATGCTGTTGTCCCTGGGATAGGAACATTTTACTGGTGCCCTCTGAGCCCAGAGCTGTGCTCAGTGAAAAGGAAGGGAGGGTCTAGACATGGGAGAGGAAAGCCTGATGTAGGCACTGGGTTATCTCTCAACTTGGGCTTTTTTTCCCCTAAAATTAGCAGTGCAGGGATCACAAAAGCATGACTGACCTTTCCATCTTTTCCTTTCAGCTCACACAGCTCTGTTTTCATGTGGAACTTCACCCCTTTATTTTGCAGCATCTGAAAAGGACTGGTTTGAGTATTCATTAGGAAATTCCAGGCTATAAAAACAGCTGTACCCAGCCAAAAGCCAGGCAGGCAGCTCTGCTGCTGCTGCTGCTCCAGGCTGCAGGGAGATTCCATTTGTGTCCCTGGCTGCTGCAGGGACACAAAGCCTGGCTTTTCTCTGCAGTCCTGGCGTGTGAGGTGGGTTTGGGGTGAGGAATTGACGTGGGGAAGGGGAAGATTGGGAGCAGCCCAGTGTGCAGAGCTGGTGGGTGAGGACAGAGGCTGGGCATGCAGAGTTGTGACTCAGCACAGGGGCGAGGTTTCCTGGGCTGATGTGGATCCTGGGGCTGCTTGGCTCTCTCGTGTGTTCTCCACGCCAGAAATCAGCCCCAGGTTCTGCTCACCTTCATGGTAACACCTCCAACCTGAGGACCCAGGGCGTGCTGGAAAGGGAACTCCTCTCTCTCCACCACTGAGATGGTTCCAGCCTTGTCTGAGAGGAAGGCAGCCACCTCCATTCCTGCAGGGAAGAGGCATGCCCAAGGTAAGCCTGCTGCAAGCATCAACCTGCACCCCTGGAAACCTTCTCCCCCTCCAGAGAGCAAATCTGATGTGCTGCCAGTGCTGAACTGCTTTGCTGTGCGTTTCTGGGCTGAGGTATTCAGCTCCCCCCTTCCTTTGTTCTCCTGGATATTGGGAGATGTAAAGAATAGCTCCTGGTTTTGTCCAAAAAAAAACCTCCCTTTCTGTGCCTTAGCCCCCTGCTTTCCCAATGCTTCTGGGGAATCCAGCTCCTCTGGAGGACAGTGACCTTTGCATAAGGCACATTTCCCTCTGTCCATGTGTAGCAATTGTTTATAGCTCTCAAAGTTTCTGGCTATCAGAGGAAAGAATGAGTGTGTGCTGTGTAACTCACACCCCCAGCAGCTCCAGGGAGGATCCCAGCCGGCTGGAAAAGGAACATCCCTTCCCTGAGGGCCTCCAGTTAATGGGCAGCCACAACAGAGGGGGGTTTGGAGGCCCTCACTGAGGGTTTGACACCCGCTCCAGCCTGGTACCTATGAATGAAGCTCCCACAACCACCAGATTCTTCCCAGTTGCCAGCTCCAAGATCTTGCTGGACTCTTCTGGGGTTTGGAGCGTGCAGATGTTCTGCAGGTCTGCACCTGGGACTTTGAGGAAACCAGAGCTGGAAGAGAGAGAACCCAGACGCATTCCATGGCGTGAATTAAACAAAGAATGAGAAGGGAGCAGAAACCCACAAACACCCCTGTGTCATTCCATTCTGCCCTCCCACCTCATTCCCTACCTCCACCTCTGCATCCCCGTGCTGTCCTGCCTAAAATCCAGCACTTTGTGCACTCACTGGCTGCCTGTTGCAATGAGCAGCTGGTGGTACTTCTGAGAGGAGCCATCCATGAAATGAACCTTCTGCTTCTGGAAATCCACAGACACTGCCTGCAGGAGCGAGGGGGCGCAGATCACACAGGTTCCCCTGTCCTGCCTGTGTTTCTGGGCACTCAGGTGAGATGGAGGGTGCTGGGGTCCTCCCTCCCACTTCCCACAGCTCCGTCCATGGATGTTTCACCCTCCCCACGAGGACTGAGCCCAGCTGCTCTGGTACCTCTTTCTCTGTCCAGAGCTCTATGCCCCGAGCCTCAAGGAATTCAGGCTTCCTCAGGTAGATATCCTCAGCTTTCAAGTTCATTTCCTGGAAACACAACAAAAGTATGAAATGAAGCATTTCTTAGAGGCAGCGATTCTCCTGAAGTGTTCCTTGTGGAGTCAGTTTGGAAAAGAAGTGAATTTTACATTAGTGAATCACAGCTCCTCACACTGCCCCATGCCCATCACCTTGTGACCTCAGAAAAAACATCAAACTTTAAGGGAAGAGCTCAACAAAAGGAAATAAAAGCATCAGCTCATGTTGACTCTGCTCAGAGATTTTCTGGGAGGAAAAAGAAGTTTTCCTGGAAATAACACCCTTATTTGTAGGGGGATAGAATATAAGAAAATAAAGACAGTGTAGAAAGCAATCTCACCCCTAAGGAGCTGCAGCTGGGCCAATTATCAAAGATTAGGAGCAGGCCACAGCTGTGACCAGTGAGAAGAAGATGCTATAAAAGAGTGGGGTGGGTGCTTGGGAAGGAAACTGGAGTCAGTGGCTGCTTTGTGAAGAAGAAAGAGTCAGTGCTCTGAGGAGCTGCCCAACACCAGGAAGGTGAGAAACTTTTGTGGTAGGAGACAACGGTATGGAACCCCTGCAACAAGATGACAACACCTATTCCTTTTGGATGCCTCAGCGCTCCTGCTTTGCTCCCTGAGCATGGCCTGTGCCCAGGCACAGCGCTGTCCCTGTCACACACAGACCTTGCTCAGCTTGGACTTGTCATAGGGAACGTGCTTCTCCTTGGTGGCCATGATGATCCTGCCCGTGAACCCCTCCTGGCGAAGAGTCTCTGCACACACCAGGGCAGCCACACCTACAGGAGAGGCTCATTCAGCCCTCTGACACCTCACTGAGGAGGAGGAGGAGGAGCAGGCTGGTCCTCCCTGGAGAGGAGAGTGGCAGCTGCCAGCGTGCGTGGAGGGGGCAGAGCTCAGATCCCTTCACTGACCTCCCCCCAGCAGCAGCATCGTGTTCTTGTTGAGGAGGCACCTCCTGCTTGTGTCCTTCACCCTCTGGCTGCTTTCCAGGTCCTTTAAAAAAAAGGAAAATGCTCAAGTCACACACAGCCCAAGGCATTGCCTGTGCTCAGTGACTGCAGGTAAGGTCAGTACCTTCTTTTTTGCTGTAATGAACACCTTTCCATCTTCCACCGTTACCTAAAGGAGAGGTTTGTTAAGTGCTGCATCCGTGCGGTTGTGGTAGGAGCTCTCCTGGGAGATCCTGTCCAGTGTGCCATCTGCCTCTGGTCTTGGATGTCACATGATGATGCTGAGGAGCTCATGAGCTTTTCTCCTCATCCTAAGAGCACTGAGGAAGAGCTGTAAATCCTCTTTTTCTTTCCAAAAGCACTTGTGCTGGCTCTGAGGACTACTGGGATCTGCGGCATCACCTTTGACTGAAAGGAGCTTTAGGGCAGGGAGTCACCTAATCCCCAAATCATCCCTGGTGTGGAAGCTCTGAGTGACAGAGCTGTGCTCAGGGCAGGGGGCTTGGGAAAGAGAATGAATGTGAGACCACCCAGCTGGGAGGCCAAGAAGTCACCTTAAAGCAGGGGATACAGTCCAGAGCAGGGTATTCCTCAATGTCCCCAGTCCTGATGTCAAAGCAGGCCCCATGCCAGGGGCAGCGCAGCCTCTCCCCTCTCAAAACGCCTGCAAGAGACCCCCCCTAAGCTGAGCAGTGAGAACCAACCTCCCCAGGGTGGTTTTTTTTCCCCCCTGCCCCAAGCTGGGGTTACCTTTGCTCAGCGGGGCACCGTAGTGGGGACATTTGCTGCCTAGAGCTCGGAATTCCCTCCTGTTCCTCACCAGCAGCACCGGGTATCCGGCCACCATCACCTCCAGGAGCCTGGGGGAGAGGTGCAGAGGTGGGCACAGAACCCCCCAGATCCCCACCACCCCCCCAGGCACTCACTGTCCATCCCCAACGTCGTCCTCCCTGCAGACCTCTTCAGTAATGGTGTCACTGCTGTCCATGCTGCTCGCTGGCAGGTGAGGGTCCCAAATTTCTGATGAAGCACCAAAATTACCTTCAAACACCCCTTTTTTAACTCTCTTGGGGTGTCCAAACCCAGCACCCGTTCCCCAGTCCTTTTCTCCTCTGAATTAACCCATTTCTCATTTCCAGCCCCATTAAACTCAGCTGCAGCGCAGGGTGAGTGAGCAGATGTGGTAATGGCTCTTGTAAACAAATATAATTATTTATGGGGAGCTGCTGCTGCTGCCACAGCCCATGTCTTCCTCAAATTGGGTCTAAAGAGATGCTTCAGCCTCTCCAAAGCCTCTCCAACATTTGTGCAGAGATGTTACTCATGGTAATTGCCCTGAAAGCACTAATCCCCTCCCAAAATGCCTCCTGGGCCAGAAAACAGCCAACCCCCTTGGTCCTTAGTGCTCTCCCTGCCTTAGCAGTCATTGAGAGGTTGATTAGGAATCTCCCTTTCTGTTTTGGAGGGGAAAAAAGCAAGAAATTGAGCAGGGGAAGAGGCATTCAAGGCAGGTTTCAGTGCAGGGTGGTGACTTGCTCCTGCAAACCCCCCCCTGCACCGCTCCCCTCATCCCAGGTTTTTTGGGAGAAGCATCTCTGTGTACTCACCTGGTCCTGCCAGGGGAGTTCAGGCGCCTGTCCCCCAGGTCAGAGAGCCACCACTGCTGCTGCCTGTGACTTTCTCCTGCGAGGTGACACCCTGGTGTCTCACACAGCTGCCAGCCCACGGCTGGTGATGCTCTCCCCACCTTGCACAACGCTCCCATCCATCAGGAGATGCAGCTCCTGGAAGAGGCTGCCTGCCAGGCAGTGTTATCTGATTTCTGCAACTGGCCTGGGCCTAATTAAAGGTATTTTGCTGGGGTTTAGGGTTGCAAAAGAATTGAGGGCACCAAGGAATTATGGCACAGGTGTGGTGTAAAATGGGGTGCGTCACGGGCAGCGTGACCAGAAACTCAAGGGGGTTCAGTGATATCCCAGGGTCCCTTCCCACTGCCCCTTTTCCTGGTGGAAAGCACTCCAGCTACAACACAAGGTATTTTTGCAGCACTTTGGAATGATACTGCTACTTTTTAGGTATTTTAACAACACTTCAAATTCTTTAATTTGATTTTTTTTGTCGTTTTTTTTCTCTGTGGATTTTAAGGAACATGAAGTTTCCGGCAGCTCTGCACGTGCCTTGCATCCCAGCTCTGCTCCTGGTTCAGCCACTGATGTCCAGGCACACGATCCCATCATCCCCTGGCCCGTGGAGGATGCCTTGGAGCGGGGTGCTGCTTGCTGGGCTATTTTTACAACAAAGTGGGAGCTGCAAAAAACTGGGAGTAACACCTACACTGTTTGTGTCTCCTCTTGTTCTTATCTCTATTTCACAGTCAGTATGTTTTACAACTTAAAATATGCCTCAAAAAATTAAGGCGGGGGGAAAAGTTACCACAACAGCGTGCTTCCATCATCTCCCTTGCAGAACAGGAGATCTGTAGCAGGTGGGGATAAAAATCCTCTGGTGGGTATCACCTGGAGAAGAAAGCATGTGCAGGATGCTGGGTAAGTGCAGGATGGATTATTTGGGAAGCAGTTAAATTCACGGGACCCTCCAAGCCATGAGCAGGGTACCAGGACGCCGCCGTGTCCGGGCAATCCCAGCCCACGGGCTCTGCACACCCACGACGGCCACAGGAATGAGGGATTTTCTCACAGCACCAATGAGCAGCTTCTGGGCTCTGCCCTCCTGGCCAGAAGCCTGAATGTGAAGCAATTTGGCTGCCAAATGTCCGTATTTAAACTCTGTGTAATTATTCCCCAGGAGCGCGTTCCCACGTGGAGGAGCAGCAGCCCTCGCCGGGCGTTCTCTGACTCAGCAGAAATGGCTGGAAAAACGTTTGCTCACGGATGGAAATCTGCAGAGAGCAGGCAAAGGGGCAGGGACAGAGGTGTGCAGCTCTGGGATGAGGCAGGTGAAGCTTGATCCTGTGCAGGGATGTTTGCAAGGCTGTGCAAGGCTGAGCAGCAGATTTGGCTGCTGGATGCTGCTGGATGCAGCCGAGCACCCGGGAAAGGATTTTGGAAAAGGGCAAAGGAAAGGGCAAAACAAAATGTTTGACAGAGGCAAAGATGATAGAATGGATCTTAGAAAGGTGATAGACAGAGGATACAAAGTGGAAAAGGGCTTTGGATGTCAGGGGGAAGCTGGGGGCTGGCTGCAGGGATGCTAGTGTGTGTCAGGAATACACAACACGCCCTCGAGGGACTGGGATGGGATTGGAGGCAGATTTTCGGGAAGATGCTCTGTAAACATCTTCTGGCCCTTTTTAGGTAAACCAGAGGTGGTTACCCAGAGGGTTTTAGACCTTTTCTTGTAGCACAAGTCAGGATTAAACATAGGAAGGAAGAGAGGAAAAGGAAGTGGTGCCCTCAACCACAAAGAGAGCCCAGGTGGGCACCAAACATCTCTGAGCAGATCTGCCACCCACATTGGTGCTGACTCACACGAGCTGCTGAGCTGACCTTGGGTTTTCTTGGACACCTTCCCTTCTGCTGTGTCTCCCCAGAGCTGCTGAGCTGACCTTGGGTTTTCTTAGACACCTTCCCTTCCGCTGTGTCTCCCCAGTGCTGCTGGCCCTCCAGAAAACCCAAGTTTAGAGGCGAGGATTTAAGGGGTGTAACTTTCCTGCCTTCAAGTTCCCACCACCATCAGCTGGAGTAGCACATTTTTTCATGCCGTGGCTGTGTGGGTTCATCTTTTTCCCAGCTCAGGGCCCTTCCCTGCTCTGCCAGAGCCACTGATTTTAACAAGCAGCACCCACGGAGTCAAACTGCTCAGCTGTGGGAAGAGGAAGTGAGGTGAAACCTGCAGCAGAGCTGGAGTGATTAATGGGGCACTGCTCTCAGAACAGCTTGGTTTGTGATATTAATAACGAGAGAATTCAGGAGGGAACCTAACCTGTTCCAAGCTGTGGAGCCAGCAGCAGCAGGATGTGCAGGGGGGAAACTCCTGTGCTGGTATTTGTAAAACAGGAGGAATTGAGTGGGCTCAGAGGGTGTGTGGGGGGGGTTGGGATGTGCTTCCACCTTGGAGGATTCATTCTTAACCTGCCTGAAATGCAAAAAAAAAAAAAAAAAAAAAAAAAACACATGTAGTGGTAAATGCATCATGATGTAATCATGAAGCACATACATATTCATCAAAAATTACTTAAGCTTGAGACTGGTGAATTAAACAAGGGAAAAAATGTTTATCCCACAAGGGGGAAAAGACAGAGAAAAGGAAATATTTAGTGGGAATGCATTTCCTTATGGGGTAAGAATAATTAAATGTGATCTTTCACATTTTCTTCCTAAGCATTCATGTCTGGTGATGGTGAGAGATGGGACACAGGCCTGGCAGACACCTGGCACCACTTCACAGTGGGCACTGGGGAAGGAAAGGAGGAACCTGAAACCTTACAAATAACAGCACATCAACAGTTCAGAAAGTCAAAACATTTGGGGCACGACAGCTGCAGAAAGCAGAGGAGAGCTGCCCATGCTGCTGAGCTTGAAGGGGACTTGCCAGCCAATGGAATTCTGTTCATCCCAAGGCACACCTGTGCAGCTGGAGTGAGGAGGGAGCACATCCTCTGTGCCACTGGTCCAGCTCAGCCCTGGAGGAGCAGCTGAGCCTGCAGCATCCCTGAGGACACTTTGCTGTCAACACAGGTTTCTCCAACAAGTCCCTTGTGCCAAGTCCTGAGTTTAAAAAAATCCTTCCAGTGCTGAGAAAAAGAAAGGCCAGAAGAAGAGCATCCAGATCAAGCTGCCCTGGGGTCATTTATCAAAGCAGGCTCTGCCTGGGTGGTTTGGGAGCATTCCCACATGCCAGGCTGCAGCAGGCAGCTGCTGTGCCCAGTCTGCAGCCGGTGTCTGGCACCAGAACCGTGCTGGTTCTGGGAAGCTCCCGGGGGACATTCCAGGAATGCTCTCAGGAAGGAGGAGCAGCCTGGGCAGCAGAATACCTGCAGTGCTGGTCAAACCCTCAGGAGTGAGAGCTTGCAGACCTGGGCAGGGTTCCTGTGGGGCAAGCACAGGCGATTTCCTCTGCCAGAGGAGCTCAGGTCCTGAGGTCAGGGCTACAGCGCTGACTTTTGGCATTTCTTGCCCTAAACTCTGGAGCTGCTCGCCACACTCACAGAGACTGAAATCCCTTTCTCCCGCGTCCACAGCAAGTTCTACCTGGGGAATATCCAGCCTCCACCTCAGGAAGGTGTTCCTGGCTGGAAGGGGTGGCTGCTCCAGTTTGAATTGATTTCAGCTCTCTCTGCAATGCATGGGCATGCTTTGCCGTGCAGAACCTGCATTTTGCACAGTAGAGCCTTTCAGAAGTGTGGAGTTCCAGACTTCCTGGATGGAGATGTGGATGTACAAAGCATTCCTACATCATCTGACCTCTTATGGCCCAAGCAGACAGAGTGGTGGCACAGTTTAGAGAGGGATGGAGACAACAGCTAATTAAAGTTTGGGAAGCCAAACTGCTTGATTTGTTTTGAGCTCTTGGACTCCTCAGATTACTTCAGGTGTGAGCCAGGTCTGGCATTAGGTGAGCAGATGGGTTTTATGACTCCCTGGATGCAGATTAAGGGAGGGAAACTTTGCAAAAACAGGAGCAGGACTTGTGCCTGGCTCCAGCGAGTCCTCTGTGGAATCTGGGAGCAGAGTGGGCTCCTGCTGAAGTAAGGGATGGTGGAAGGGCAAAATCAAACCCAAAACCCCACCCAGGAGTAGTTGGGGAGCATCTAGGGGGGACAGAACTCAGCTGGCAGAATTCCTGTGGTGGATTATCACTAAACTTTTAGCTCAGTGCCAGCTTTTAATTGTGGAAAAATGGGTTGTATCTCTGCAGAGAAACTCCAGCCTGGGAAAGGGAGACAAAAACGATTGTCTAGCTATTGAATAAAATTCTGTACCCTCGATTTACACCCCGATCGCGGCTGGGAAGCCCCCGTTATGGGATTATGGGATGGACCTGGGCACGTCCTTGCTGGTGTCTGCAAGGAGCCCCCTGCCCTGCTGGGAGCAGGCACCGGCACCGCCCGGCACCAGCCGGAGCTGCATCCCCGCAGAAAACGAGGGCGTTTGGGGACAGTCGGAAAACTTCTGGAAATCTGGGTGAAAAAGGCAGCGTCTCCAAATAAGGTGGGGATGAGGAATCCCATCGGAGCGGGCTCCCGGCTCTCCAGCGGGCGTGCAGGGACCTCTTGTGGCAGCCGAGCCCGAGAGCTCCCGTCCCCGCTCTTCCCTCCGGGTTCTTTGGGGACAAGCCTGGCCCCCGAGCCTGTGGCGTGTGGTTGAATTTTTTGGCCGGATCTGGTGTCAGGGGACTTGTTTGTAACTGGGTTTGGAAGTCTGCAGCTCCAAAACCGCCCCCGGTTAATGCCATTGCTGCAGAGGAAGGAAAAGGCTGGAATCGGGGTTGTAAGAAACTACGGCTCGATGGGAAGTAAAATTAAATAAAATCTGGGATAAAACGACCCAAAAAGTAGTTTATATGTGACTGTTGGTAGTGCTCTAGCAATGGGATCAAAGTCCTTGAACCAGAGGCTCAATTAATCACGGCTTAAATTCCTGCCATGCAGAAGTGGAAGGTAAAAGCTCTCCAGCCTCCAGAAACATTTTAACTATTCCTGTGCCCCAGCCCTGGATGCTCATCTTTAGGTTAAACACAAATGGAGGAGCTCCTGAGGAAACAGGGCTGGACCTGCAGGCGTTCCACAGTCTGGGATTTTCCCTGCAGGAAGGTGAAGGCAGGAGTTGTCACCAGGGAAAAGGGCAGGCAAGATTTTTTTTTTGAGGCTAAACCACCGCAGATGACTTCTCATTCGGAAACCGGCTCTGTGCAATTTTATACTCAATTAATTGTTAAATGATTTTTCTCCTCAGTGCCCTGAGCAGCCCAGCACGTCTCCAAGGCATGTCTCTCTTTCCTCAGCACATCTTATGCTGAACAAAAATGTCTTTGCATTTGGTCCTCTCAGTAACAGATTAGCCTGTGTGATCCTTCCACTCCTAATACACGAGATTATTTAAAATCCCCTGAGCACTCAGGGCTGCCTATTACTTCAGGCACTGTCTCCCTGCCACGTAACTGTTATGAAAGTACAGTGTCTTGCCCGGCTTTTAAGCAAATTTGTGCAGCATGAATAGATGCTTTTCTACCAGTTGGGACTATCATAGAAACACAGAATTGTTTCGCTTGGAAAAGAACCTCACCCATCTCCCAATTTGATTTAATCACTCAGCCTCCCATCAGTGTGTGTTTGATGTTTTTGTGTCCATCACCCCAAAGCCAGGACAGCAACTAAGAGCTCAGGCTCCACACTCTTCTGTTTCAGCGAAGAGGAAGTGGAAGCTTTCATCCAAAATTAATACCTCAAAGCAGAGGTGGAGTTTGACATTAATCGGTGTGTACACGGTGACTCAGCCCGGCGGCAGGAGGGGAAGCGAGGGCTGCGCGGCAGCTTCTGCTGGAGACATCAAAAAGCAACAAGGGAGCGATCAAATTACGGGAAGCTGGAAAAGCAGCGTAGTTGTAGGGTAGAACTAAAATTGTGGCTACGGGATTGTGAATTTCCACAACCTCCAGACAGCGGAGCTGGGGTGTCCCAGACATCGGGGAGCTGCTTTTCTCGGGATCAGACATAGGACAGGGGGATGAGGGATAACAGTGCTGTGGGCAGAGCAGTTTCAGGCAAGGCAATCAGGTGTTTTTCCGTGCTGGATGTGCGATCAGCCCCGGTGGTGTGTGTGCTCTGAGGGGATCCTGCCCCGCGGTGAGCGGCGCTTGGAGAGCTCCTGCCCAAGGAAACGATGACGGGCATCACCTGCCGGGGAGGCTTTGGGGAGAAGCACCACGGGCCGCAGCATCCCAAGGGAGAAGCGTTCGGCCACAAGGTGGAGGAGGAACCTCCGGGTAACGAGGGAAGTGTCCCAGTTCCCGCACGGGGACCGGACACGCGTTCCCCGCTCCGTGCCACGCTCAGCCGGCTCCGGGCTGGCGCCGCTTGTGCCCTGCGGTGCCAGGGAATGCGGGTACATCCCCGGGGGCTCAGTTCCCGTTCTCCCGCTCCCCGTGTCCCACGCCCCGACGGGCAGCGCGGGGGATGCAAGAGCTGCCGGTGCCAGCCCCGGGGCGGCCCCCGGCTCTTTCCCACCCCTCGGGGACGATGCTCGCCGTGCCCCCGCCCGGACAGGGCGGTGCCGGCGGGGCGGTGCCGGTGCCCAGGGCGGGCCCCGGGGCTGGGCGAGGCGGAGTCCGGCGGGCAGCGCGGCCGGTCCCATGGGAGCCCGGCGGGCCGGTGGATGCCCATGGCTTTCAGCCCGGGGCTGCTGGTGGTGGCCGGTTCCTTCGCCGCTTTCCGCCTGCTGAACCGGGGGCTGGAGCGGCTCGTGCCGCCGCCGCCCTCGGCCCGGCGCAACCGCTGGAAGTGGCGCAACATCTGGACCTCGCTGGCACACAGCGTGCTCAGCGGCGGCGGGGCGCTGGCCGGGTGAGCGGCACCGAGGAGACACCGGGCTGCCCGGGGGAACCGGGACACCGGGAGGGAACGGGGAGACGTCGAGGGATCCCGAGGGGAACCTGCGGCCAAGGGGGTGCTAAAGGAAACGGGGGAGTTGGGGACCCTGGGGAATGTCAGGACCTGCAGAATGGGGGTGCTGAGAGAGGGAGGAAGGTGCGAGGCACCAGGGGATGGGGAGACTCCAGGAGGAGAGGGGTGGAGCAGGGCAACAGGAGGTCTCCAAGGAGGGTCGGCAGCACCAGGTGGGTAATGGAGACACCGGCAGGGAAATGGGGACCTGGAGGCACTGCCCGACACTCACAGCCTCTCTCCCCACAGGTTCTACCTCCACCCCGAGATGTCCAACGACCTGGTGGGCACACACCCGCCCGGGGCGCACAGCCTGGTGGCCGTGTCTGTAGGTGAGGTGTGGCCATGGACTGTCCCCTGTTCCGTCCCCCGGGGGTCTTCACGCGCTCGTCGGTGCCTGACACCAGCCCCTCGAGCCATGTCGCGATGTCTCAGGCACCTCAAACAATCGCGCTATTCTTGGC